GAGGAGAAGAGCGCTCCCGGCGTCAGTTCGCGTCCCGGGTTGGCTCGCGGAAAGTTTCACGCGGTTTTACGTTGCGTCATAAATGCGGGATGTAAATCATGCGAGAGGGAGGGAAGAAAGGGGAGGGGGCCGAGGAGGCACGAGCGACTCTACGGACGGCGCGTAAAAGTTGAAGGATCAAGAAGGAAGCGAGGAGAAGTCAGAGAATTACTGACGACGCAATTAATCCTGCACATATAGCAGAGAGTCTGATGTAGAGATTTTTCTTTTCCATCTCTATGTGTAATGTATGATAAATAAAATTAAAAATTTTCAATATATGGAAATTGCACGCGCTAGACTTTATGATTCGTTTACAGTGTCTTAAAATATTAAATATAATATAGTCTTGAATATTAAAATGCATTAAAGAGCAACGACTATGATTCGAGACTATTAGTGATTCTAGTGATCAATTTATAGCATTATGTTATATTATTTTAATAATCTCTTTAAATCATGCGCATTTTTATATCAACAACCAATCCAACAACATTCCAAAACAATGATTTTGGAAAAGAAAAATTTGTAAATGATCTTTTGTAATAAATGATATAATTAAAAATTTAGAAATGATTTTTTAAATAAATGATATAATTAATTATCACTTTCAATACTGCAATTTTTCGAATTTTTTAACACGCATAAAATATTTCTATAATAAAATAAAATGAATTCATATCATATCCATATTTTTCAACCTTCAAGAATATGCTGATTCATAAAAGGCAATAGTTAAAGTAAACGGAGAACGCACTTCCGTTAAAATATCAATCGTAAAGTATAGGAGCTTTTCGGAAGAGCAGGCACACGTGCTGACCACGTGTTTGCTTGGGAACTTGCGGTAAAGGAGTCATAGCCCTTGTCGCTCGTCTTGGCGAACAAAGGAAAGCGCGTCGTCATTCTTCCGTAATAAATTTCGTAAAACAATTGCCACGTATACATGTGTGTGTGTGTGTGTGTGTGCGCGTGCGCGTGCTCGCGTAATTAATAATTAGCGATCATTCTTAATAAATGCTCAACGATCCCCCTACATTTTTTTATATTGCCGTTTGAAAATCGAAGAAATTCTGCTGCGCCTGTTTATATAAACTTACGAGCGCGTTCGGTTTCAAAAATAATAGACGAAATCTTATCGCAACCGATAGGCTTTCACATATATGTGAAGAATAGATATCCGTAGAACTATCTCTTTCTCTTTCTCTCTTCTAGTTCTCAGGAGAAGTAATGATGTTTATTCAATTGATTGATAAACGTCATTGACAAGTCAGTGTGATATCTCATGTACTTCGAATGATACAATAAGATTTTATTTTATTATTTATAATACCAGGGTCTGTATATGGCCCTTGAATTCGTCATCTTTTTATCTCTGAAGGAAAATATACTATATTTAATTAAAAGTGCTATATTTACGATTGTACTTTGCATTATCAAAACCGTATTTTATATAATCTCGTGCGCGCGAATAAAATTGTCAAATTTAAAGTTTAATTTGAAAAATATTAATATATATATACGAGTATATATATATATATATATATATATATATATATATATATATACTTTAAAATTGCTATTATAGAACATCATATTTAGATATAGTTATATATATTTATTTATATGTATTTACATTTATATGCATCTTTCCATAAAACATATTTAATAATGATTGTCATTATTAAGTAATTAAAATATTCTAATTAATATGCAGTAAATATAATAATTATCACAATATTTATTATGATATTTATTGCAATAATTATTACAATTATAATAATTAAGAAATTAATACTCGTTAAAAAATGAATGCTGTTTATATGCGACAATTACTTATGTGTATGTGTAACCTCATAAAATAAGAATATTTTGTGTGTATTGCTTATAAAAAATTTTGAATATAATTTAATTATAATTTTAAGCTCTTAATTTTAATGACAAACATCAATTTATGGCAAATGTTTCATCACGTAAAATAGAAATCTTAGTTACATCGTGTGGAAAAGAGAGCTCTCTCTGCTGTGATCCGACTAGCAGAAATAACTCGCCCTCCCGCTTAGAATTAAGGAAACGGAACGTTGCTATTATCAATATAACCTGAAGCTTTTAGTTTCGCAATCGCATTACTATTTACCATCCATGCCATGACTGTTTATTTCGTGTAAATTGCCACGTTGCGATTTCTGCGAAGAATGCAATCATAGCAATTGTATACATAAGCGCGAGCAATCAGTATTATTATTATACATTTTCTTATTGCGAGTATTATATGTATATTATTATAATTTATTTTTTTTTGCACGTAGATTAAAAAACAATTTATTATATTTTTTTTAATTTTTTCACCAAAGTTGTACCTATTTCCTGGAAAATTTGAATTTTGTAGAATAATTTTTATAGAATAATTTTTACAGTAAATGTTGTTCAATAAATTTTTCAATATAAATGACACAAGCTGACGTATCTGCACGCGACGCCTTGTCATTCTTTCTCACTGCACGATAAATTAAAATTGTTATTCAAATATTAGTGTCATTATTTCGAGTGCCATACATCCTCATGCTATATACTAATCACGTGCAAAATAAGACTCGGCGATCGCCCGCGGTTGTTATCGTCTATCCACACCAGCGATGATATTATGAAATAGGCATAAATAAATACTCTTTCTTTTAATGCACGTTCAAACATTCATAATTTTCAGTGTTGCAATATTGATTCAAAGACGTGTTGAATGAGGAGCTCAGATTCATAAAACATCAGTTGTTATTTCATTAACATGAGTCATTTATTTCTTCCGTGATATCATAATCAATATCCCAAACGAATTTATAATTTATGAATAATTAATAATTTGTAACAACGAGTGAAGTTGCTATAAGATTTAATTCGAACTTAACATTAAATGCTAGAGGGATATTCTCAATAAAATTAAATAATTATAAATTGCATATATTATAAATATTCTGGAAAATATATTCCAATGCAATATTACAGTGAAACATCATTATCGAAATATTTGCCTTCTAAATTAGCGAATGAAAAAGCCGAATTTATATAACAAGGAATGAAATCTCAAGCGAATTTATATAACAAGGAAATTGATATAAGACTTAATTGAGTCTTATATCAATAAGACTTAAAATTTTTTTATATTAAATAAACAAGATTATAATTAAGAATATTAAAACATCTTCTCAAGACATTTTCTCATTAATGACAAAATTAAAAAATTATAAATTGAGCGTATTATAAATATTATAAATATTCCGAATTATAAATATTCCGAAGAATATTTCACTATAATACTGCTGTGGAACATCATCGGCAAAATATTTGCCTCTTGAATCGAAAATGGCGAATGGAAAAAAAACGCACGAGAAAAAAAAATTGTTTTCATGAGAAGCGAGCAGACCTAGACACACGTAGATTTAATCGACGGCGCATTCCAAGAAGATGATGATTTCACGGTGATGTCACTGAGGTATGGAGTGGAATCGTAATCAGGATCTCCGAGGATCAATGCTTGGTTGAGCGACTCTCCCTCTTTCCGGCGAGATAACCGATCTACGATAAATCGAACGATTACGTGTCATGCGTCGCGGTGCGTCGCGACGCCCAGATATGCTCTAGCTCGAGATATACATCCGAGATGTTAGCGAGGATTTTCTCCTGTAAACAACGCGCCCAGCTTCCGGTTACGCGGCCGTGTAATCGACGATATCACCGCGCGATTCGCGATCGGTTGTCGCGTTTAATTGGATGATCGAGCGATCGGCAGTCTACGATCTAACGATCTCGCCGTATCGTTTTAGTCTTATTATACACGACACACGGCACCGGCACCGATTACAGTAGCGGTACAAAGGAGAAAGATTCTCGTTTGTTACGTCACGCTATTATTATTTACAAGTAATTCCAGCGACCAGTTCTACTTCGTTATTTAAATTTCGCAATTTTATTTGATTTTTTAGAGATAGAATTAGATAAATATTTATATAAATAATATATATATATATATATATATAAATGTATAATAATTTATAATATAAATATTTATATAAATAATATATATATAAATAATATAATAATTTATGTAAATAAAACAATTCAAAATTATATCGGCATCACTTATGCCAACGAATAATTTTCTGATTTCTTATAGCCATTATTCCTTTATCGATAGTATATAGGAATTTGTTTAAATTTCGCCTCGCGATAAATAAGATTATTTAATAATCATAACGCATCTTTATGTCAATGAATAATTTCCTAGATTTTTAGAACTTATTTCTTTATCGGGAATATAATATAAATGACTTTGTCATTGACGTCATTGAATTGCGTGTCAAGTAGAAAAAAACAGATTATTTAAATTATGTACTTTATTGCAGATCGCAATATTAATCAGTTAGCCATAAACGATTATTCGCATTCATACTTTAATGCTTGCATCGATATATTTTCTACATTTATGTCTATATATCGACAAAATTATTGCAATGTACGCATGTGCGTAATAAAATTTATTTTATTCAGTAAAAATATTTTATAGTTTGTCAACAATATAATGTCAAATTAATCAAGAATTAATAATAAATTAATAATAAATTCTTAAGACAAAATACAAAATATTTTTTATATAATTGATTAATTTAAATTAATCATTCAGAGATCAATAATCTATAAGATGCAAAAATGCAGAATAACATTTACGTAATATACTCGATGCCTTGAAAATAAACATGCAAATGAAGGAAAATTTAACAAAATTACAATTATCTCCAAATGAAAAATTATAGATATTTATTCTTGATATCCCGAAACGCGAAACATTTTGTCCTTGACATTTTGTCTTTGACCTCGTCAACAAAGAGCAGAAAATTTTCCTCCATTAATTTTCCATCGTCATCGATAGGTACAATGTAACTATTGATAGTAGAGAGAGACAGCACACTTACCCGAGGACTCCTCCAGCGAACGTTCCAGGCGACGAAACGATGGTACGCATCCACGTGTTCTCGGAGAGCGGCCGACGTTGAAATTCACTTGTCAACAAACGTCGGCGCGACACGAACACAAGAAAACCCGCCAGCCACCGCGGCCGGTCTTCTCTCTTTCACGAGATCCCGCGATTATATCACCACGGCCGTTCTTCCTCTCTCGAGGCAGGTTTTGCGCGCGTTTCCGGCGCGCTTCACTTTCCGCGAAACTCCAGCCAACTTCACTTCCGCGAAATCCCGAGCAACGTCCTCCTCGAAACAAACGACTCGCGTACTCTGGAGATACCTTGGAAATACTTCCCTCCAACGTCGACAACGTTGTTTACGAAATGTCGACTCGTCCGATCGTCCTGGCGACAAATTCAGTTCACACCGGAAGGCTCTGAAGTCGGGCGCACTTTGATTTCCACTTCTATCGGTCGAATTTTCACATCATCCTGGACACTTCTCGTTTTATTTTGACAGCAAGACACGAGGAGAAGCCTCTCGCACGCGAGTTCGAGGACGAATATCGAGAATCGCGGTTCCAAGGGTTGTCTATCCGCGTTGTATACACCTCGCAACGTGTCACGTGGCTGCGACCGTTACTCCGCCACACTTGTTGATTGTCGCCATGGATACGAGTGGCTCGTTCCCGCAAAGTTTCCCGACGTACGCGCGAGAATCGGCCAACTCGCGCAAATTCTGACTGAATTTCGGTCACCCGCGACCCGAAGGGGCCCGCGAATGCGTCACTTTCGATTTAATTCCGCGTGTATTCGGGCGAGAGGGAAAAACCGGAAAGACACTCGCCTCCACTCGGACTCGCTTTTCTCGGAAAACGACCTCGCTTTTCTCGTCCTTGACCTCTGGCCGCTTCCTCGACAGCGGACACACTTGCGAAACGCAGCGCGGGATCGAAATTTCCGCTCGACGCGCTCGAAGCGAACCAGCGACACGAAATACGACCGACTCCCGCGACCGCCGCGGCGAGACTGAGACGCGACAGGGGCGTGCGCATGCTCGGCACGCTTACTGCTCGGCCGAGCCAGTCACGGGAGTCGCTCCGTCTCTGTCGCTCCCGCGGCGCCCATCGTCGCGCGCACGTCTTTCTTTCTCTCTCTCTCTCTCTCTCTTCCGCGGACTGAAGTCCGTCCCGCTCGCACGCTATGCGACCGCACACCGCTTCCTCTCCTGCCCCGTTCCGCGCCAAACTTCATTGAGAATCCTTATCTCCGCTTCTTTCTAAGAAGACTGGAATCGAAGATTGTGCGTGCTCCGTTTAATTCATCGACGTAATGTATGTCACATATATGAATGAAATTGATATTTTTCTTACACCTTCGCGTCTGAAGTGCTGCACTTTATTTTAACGATGTTAGATATTATCGTGAATAATTATATATTATTGTTTATTAAATACATATAATCATAAATGATTTTATTATCAATCTATCTTTACAATAATATAATGGTACGTGTGTTATATTCTTTGTGTCCTTGATTGAAACATATATTCGCGATATAGTATACACTTGGAGTAGATTCGTAAATATTTTGCCGCACGCGGACACGTTAGTTCTCTGTTTGTATTTTTTTTATTTCGACTCTATTTAAATTGCCAGTGCGTCACACGTGAAGGAAAGTACGCAAATGATTTTTCCGAAAGTATATACGAATAATTTTATAATAAATTAGGGTATCGGTAAAGTGTCTACGTCAAACATACGCGCGCGATTGTTTACGTCTCACACAGAGAAAAATATCATTCTACTGCCAAGAAAAACGATTACTCAGTTTATTTTTCTTTTTTTAAGTAATAGTTTTCTTCAACAAAGAATATATTCTTGATAATAATCTTAAAATATACTCATCACAAGAGTTAGAAAATCTCATTATCATGTACTCAAAAGAAGAATTTATTTTCTCTTCAAGAATATTATAAAGTTGTATCAAAGAAAAATCAAATTTACTTTACGTCAACTCTTGTAGTAAGCAAACCAAATTTTTGTTTTAATTTAATATTCTTGACTAAAATACTACACTTACTAAAATTCAGAATATATTCAATTAAATTTAACGCTTGTGGTAAACTTATGATATACTTAAAATAAATAATATTTACTTGAATACAGTATACATTTTTCTCTGTACAAGGTTAAGGACTCGTAAATATTTCGTCATAATTGAAGAATTTCGACGCTGGACCTGAGAATACAACTAGATCTAGTGACTGATCGATCTTCTTCGAAACAAGTAAGTTTTTCTTTCATAAAGATTTATATATATTTATACATATACAGTTTGTTATTGAATTATTATGATCAGTGCTAATTTCACACCATTATGGATATTTGTTCCATTTCACTTTGCTCGAACAAACGTACCATTACCGTTTTTATTTCCTTTTTTTCGAACGGTGTTATCTTTCCCTCTCTTTCTCGGCCGACTCGGGCACGATCAGCTGTTCCGAGCGGTGGCACGCACGTGCGTATCCACGTAGGCATCCGTCATGCCTCGGGCGCCGGTCCACACTTTTCACGGAATGATCAGTGGGAATCTAATTACGTGTGCGTGTCTACCGATTGCTCGCTGCGCAATCGGAAACTTTTCTGACACAACAATACGAGTTAACTATGCGATGAATAATTCATTCGACGATTATATTGTTATTACGTCCTTAACTCCGTCTTGTCACTTCCATCTACGCACTAGATGTTTCTATCGATATTCTGGCCTCCAGTTTCGATTCTTCTCGTCGCATATGACATAATTTCTTCCAATATTTCGGAAGAAATGATATATAATTAAAATATATATAAAATATACATAATTAAAATTGACAAAATATATATGATTATATCAGAATTAAATATCTTTGATTTTGTCCTTAAATATTATGTAATCTTAGTGTTTTATATTCAAAATAATATTAAAAATCGTAAAATATATAATATTAAATATTTTGTAACTAAGAAAATAAATTATAATTAAGAAAATAAAATTAATCAATTATGACATCTTCTCTCTATTTTATTATTATTAATTTTAATCATTTTTATTATTATTTTTAATTATTATTAATTATACAACTAATTCTAGTATTATTAATCATAGTGACTTTTAATGTGCATGCGTATCTATCACAATTATAATAAAAAATCACCTCGCGATGCAAAAATGACCGGTGGTTATCTCGACGTAAAATAGATTTCTAGGCGTTTTCGGGCGCGATTATGAATCCCGAGGTGACAGGCCGAAATTTATCGCGACGAGACTGATCGATAGAATGCAACCTTGTCGCGGAATGTCCGCTTCGACCGCCGGTCCAACGCGAGCATGAGCGTCCTTGAAGGCAAGGATCCCGGGCCATTAATTCCGCGGAGGATGTTCCGCGCGAAGGAACATTCGTTCTCGCGAGACTCAGCTGTTTCTTACGGAACGTGCGAGCATGTTGGAGCACGCGTGGATACACGTTCCCGACTATCTTGAGTGAATAGTCCCGGCCGCCGTGTCGCCTCACGGTCTACTACTCCGTGAGATCTTTCCCGTCCGCCGTCGTAAAGTCGACGAGAAAAGCCGCGATGTCTGTTGAATCTCAGATTTCCGCGCGTCTCGGCTACAAATAATATTTATTCAGCAATATTTATGATCGAGAGTTGAAAAATGTAAAGAAAGGGGGAAAGAGTCTTTCCAATTAATTCGCGAGGGATATTTTCAAATTTTGCCTTAATTTTCAGGATAGGTTTTCCAATTAATCCATACAATTAAATAAGTTTCAATATACTTAATGTCAAATTTTTTTATTAAATCTTATATTTTATTTTATATTTTATATATATTTAATTTTATATTTTATTAAATTAAATTTAAGAATAAAAGAACATTTCAATAAAATGTATACATGCTTCGATCAAGTTGAGAAATAAAGACAAAATCGTGCACTTAATTTTAATTAAATTTTTCACGAACTTTTCTCGAACACAAAAAAATTCCAAATTTAATATCATCAAGAAAAATATAAAACAAAAAATATTAAAAAAATATAAAATATAAAAAATATAAAATATAAACACACACATATTCTAGACTATACAAATTCTTAGATAAATTTTGCCAAAGCCTATAGAAATTATTATATTGCTTTAGCAAATGTGTTTTTTTTTTTAGTATCGTTTACCGTTATTTTCCAACGCGGTGAATCCTGATACACGGAACTCGTAAAATCGGTTAGAAATCGATAATCGATGAACAGGAAGGAGTTTCGTGTATACATCGCGGTCGCATGCCAGCGAGATTACCCTATTATTACTTCATCTAGTCCGGGATGGTGCAAGCTCGTGCCTTTCCGTACTTTAGATACGCTAGAATAATCAGCTATTTACCACGCAGGTTGTTCAACTCCTCTGCTTAAGAACAGCGCGTTCTTTGCACGCCTACGCTATAGCGATTGTAAATATTCACTTGAACGGAAATCCATAGAAACTGAGTGTTTATCCTCTTAATTCTCTGGACATTTCAATATTTTTTTTTTCTTTTTTTTGCATTTTTATAAAGTACAGATGCAAAAATGTTATTTCCTTGTAGAAATCTTTCAAAAAAACAACAGCTGATAGCTATAGAATTAATTTTAATAAATTTGTGATTCATTGCACGAGGGAAACGTTAACTCAAATATAATTGCTATATCTCGATCGAATGAAAATTTATGTCTCATTCAGAAGCCTTTTTCTGGAAGTCGTTGGCGGCATTATATGTCGCAAGAGAAGAGAGTCCGGCGGCATCTTTGCGGTACATCGCGCGTTTCGACTTTAATTCATCGAGGCAGATATCATGGGCGCCCGCATGCCTTTTCATTAATCTCAATTACGGCGCAATTAAAAGCAGTCAACGAAAGTGGGGTCATGAACTGACGTGCCCACCTTCGTAATCGAGTTCTCTCGGATGTTCTTATTTTCGCAACCAATTTTACCGCTACATTATATCATGTGCGATGAGAGGAATGTGAGAAAGTAGATTTTGACATCGGCTAAATTATGCCTATATTTATGAAATTCCAAAAAATAATTATAATTGCAATATATTTTTTGCGAGTATTCCTTATAATTATTATAAGAAATATAATACATATACAATTCAAATATAATTATAAGTATATATATATACAAGAAATTAAATAACTGTACAAAATAAATCACTTTTATTTTTAAAAAATTATCAAAATATAATTTACTTTAATAAATGATGAAATGAACGAAACATATATTCATGAAATTATAAGAAATATATAATTGCAATATGTTTTCTACGAACATTTTTTACAATTAATTAGAGAAATTAAATGACTGTATAAAATAAGCTTTTATCTTTAAAAAATTTATGAAATATAATTTATTTTAACGGCAAAGGGGGAGCCTAGGCAAGGGAGGCTCTGAGTTCGCGTGGGAAGTTCCGAGATCGGGGACGTGCCTTCTGAGCCGAGTTATGATATATGTGTTTTTGTGTTCGAATTCATCAAGACGCATTAGAGGGACCCGGAATATCTCGTATCGTCGATTTCATTTGCATTCCTTTCCTCGCCAAGGCCGCGTCGGGTCCATGGGACCCACAGCTCCAGGGGTCCCCGCTTGTTTCACTGCGTCTCTCGACTTTGAAACTTTCGTCCTTGCGCGAGGCGGCGCGTATTAAAAGTCTCCTCGATAATAATGACAAACGTTTATCCTCGCAGCGAGAATTATTCGTTTCGCGATCGTCCCGACGAGAGCCCCCACGGAAATGCGGGCATTAAATCAACGACTGGCACGACGAACCTAACTTACCTCGTTATCGCCCTTACACCCTCCACCGACACGCAAGATTTACTTAACAATCACGACGATGTCTCGGAAAGGCAAGTGGAGGGATGGAGATTTACCGTGCGTCAAAAATAATAAGTCCTATCGTATTGATTTCTAATCAAATGAAACTTGAAATTAAAATAG